TTACGGTTTCCCATTGGATGAATTTGCTGTCGATCGTCACGTGACCCGAAAAATTCTTGGTCGCCCTGGTGGATTCTGACGAAATTTTCACGTGTATGTAAATCTACCCCTTATTTTTGGCGTAGAAACTTAAACTATAAAAATACCTTTTTTTTTTTTTTTTTACACTATCATAAATCATGTCTTCAGTAAACGGGGAAAATCCAAAAATTCTACAAAATTTTATCGATGGTCAATATGTAGACCCTGTTAAAGCATCCTCAGTAAAGTATATTCCAGTTACAACACCGCATACGGGGAAAATTATCGCTCAATGCCCAATTTCCACCGCTGAAGATGTAGATAAAGCTGTTGAAGCAGCAAAAAAAGCTTTCAAAACATGGAGGTATCTATCACTAAATTAATAATGGTTTACTTATTTGTTCAGTTTAATTAAATTTTTTTTTTAGTTCTCGTACGGTTAAGGATCGTGTACAAGCTTTGATTCGATTCCATAATTTATTATATGCACATATTGAAGAATTAGCCGACCTTATCATATTAGAACATGGAAAAAATAAATCCGAAGTATGTTTATTTATTCAATCTATTTTATTTAATCCATTTATTATATAAAATATGAACAATTGATTATATTTCTAGGCAATAGCAAGTATTTCTAAAGGTGCCGAAACTGTAGAATATGCCATATCACTTCCCCAGCTGGTATATATTTATCAGAATTACTTTTTTTTTTCTAGGAGTATCAATTTATTCAATTATTCTATTATTTTCTAGATTCAAGGTAAAATTTTGGATGTTTCTAGAGGTGTCTCATGTCAAGATTCTCGCATCCCCTTGGGTGTGGTTGCTTCTATCGTACCTTTTAATTTTCCAATCATGGTAAATTATTATCTGAATTTTATTATGTTCATATTTATCTTTATACATTTGAATAATAGAATAGTTAAATGATTGTATATTCAGGTTCCTTTCTGGACTTTGCCGATCGCCATTGCTACCGGAAACACTCTAATTTTGAAACCTTCTGAAAAAGTTCCTATGACTATGAATCGTGTTGTTACCCTTCTAAAAGAGGCTGGTATACCAGATGGTGTTGTAAATATAGTAAATGGAACTGTTGATGGTAAATTCTATATTTCTTTATAAATTTAATAAATATGAAATTTGGAGCACTTCTTTTAAACTATTTTTTTTTAATCAGCCGTCAACTCAATTTGTGATCATCCGGATATCAAGGCAGTAACATTCGTAGGAACTTCACATGTGGCTAACATCGTTACTGAAAGGTGCCATAAATTGGGAAAAAGAGTTCTTGCTTTAGGTGGTGCAAAGGTTCATATTTTTATTTTTGAATATGAATTTCTTTAATAAACGTATTAGATGTTTCTAAATATAATATACTTTTTACAGAATCATTTGATCGCTGTGCCTGATTGTAATATTGAATCAACATCAACTGATGTCGTAAACTCATTCTCAGGATGTGCAGGTACTTTGATTTTCATATCTACTCTCTCATATAATATTATAAATAATAATTTTTCAAATTCTGTTAATCATTTATTAAAGGACAACGTTGTATGGCGGCTTCGGTCCTTTTGACCATTGGCCCACAACAGGACCTTCTCGATCGTATTTGTGCTAAAGCTTCTAGCATAAAACCAGGTGTAAAGCCTGGTGAAGTAGGCCCAGTAATTGACCAATTATCACTTGATAAAATCACAAACTATATCATCGATTCTGAACGTGCTGGTGCTAAAATTCTTGTTGATGGTCGCCCTTGGACCTCACAAAAAACTGAAGGATTTTGGATTGGTCCAACTGTTATTCTACATACTAATAAAAATGATAAAGCTTTACATGATGAAATTTTTGGTCCAGTATTAAGCGTTTATCAATGTTCTAGTAAAGAGGAAGCTATTGAAATCGAAAATGGTAATCCATATGGCAATGCGGCTTGTATATATACCACAACTGGTGCGACTGCTGAATGGTTTACTTCAAGATTTAGTGCTGGAATGGTTATTATTATTTATTATAATTTATTTGTTATTTCATTTATTACATTCTTTTATTAATTTTTTATTTTTTTTATTTTTTTATTTATTTTTTAGTGTGGGGTGAATATTGGAGTTCCGGTGCCTAGGTAAGTTTATACTAAAAAACAATTATAATTCAATAAACGTTGATCTATGAAACTCAAAAAAAACTTAAATCATTTATTAGAGAACCATTTTCATTTGGAGGAATAAATCGATCCAAGTTTGGAAACTTTATGGATATTACTGGTGATGGCGGTGTTGAATTTTTCACCTGGAGACGTAAAGTAACAACTAGATGGGGTACTGGTGACCTTGATTTAAAATTAAAAATGTAGAATAAAAAAAAATTAAATTAAATGTCAGTCTACTAATTATTACTATTATTAGTACTGCTGTTATTAGTTGTATTAATTTTTCTTTTAAAAGTTTTAAATTAAATTCTAGTATGAAACAATGTGTTTACACATAGTTTTGTTGTATTTTGACAATTATATATGATTTTGTTAAATAAATTTGCAAATAATTTACGAAAGAGTTAAAGTTTCAATTTTATTATAATTTATTATATTCGAATACTTTACGATATAAAGGTTCTGTCTTCATCGAATTCGAGCATTATATATTAATAACCTTTAGTACTTTTTCGATATATAAATTGATATTATTTTTAAATGTTAAAATGTCTTCTAATAAAATATTTAACTTAAGAATAAATTTACTTAAAAAATTAAATCATGTCAATTTTTACGGAGGTTAACATATACTTAAAATGTGAATAGCGGTTAAAGGGTATAAAACCAGCTAATTTTAAATTAGAACTTGTCGGAAGTTAATAATAGTTTTTCTATAGGGCTGAAATGCAGTTAGCTTACAATGAAAGTAATAATCCTTCTGAAATTCGCCATTACCTTAGTTTTTTTTTTAAAAAAATTGTATTAGTATAAAAACATTAAAAAACACATATCACAAATTATACGAATGACTAATATTATATGGAAGTGATGGAAATTCATGATCCATCGCAAAGTTGTTGAGTTTAGTGGGCACTAAAATAAATTATTTCTTAGTTACAAATATACGCAACTTAAAATATTTTTAATACTGTTAATACCTTTAACCACATCATTTAATTTGCTATAATAATTATTTTGAAGTGTATTCAATGATTTTAATAGTGTTTTTTAATTTCACTGTCTGCATTAATGAATTTATTTTTTATATCAAAGTTCTTTATTTTTTTAATCATCTGATTCTACAATTGCTTTCCATCGAATGATTTCTGAATAAATTTTTTCAGCAATAGGCCGTTTTTGTGGATCAGAATCCATTCATTGCTTTGCAAATTATGGTCGTAATCCATTGCAGAATTCTACCGAAAGATTAATATTAAATTCACACTTTTCATAATGCCTTTTTTCCAGTTGACATTGCTGTCATGATAATTTCAGGTGCCTGAAGTTAACATTTCCTGAAGTTGTAACTCCAGGCACCTGAAATTACACTTGCCTAAAATCGCCTAAAATTACTAGAACGCGTGCAAGATGATCTAATTTCTGGGACTAATTTCAGTAAAGTGCAATTTTCAGGCACCTGAAGTTACAACTTCAGGCACCACAGATTTTGACACAGGCGTCTGTAACGTAAAATCAAAACAATCGATATTAAAATCAATAAACCACATCTTTAAGATTAGGATTAAGGCGAAGGAAGGTCATAAGTTATGCCAAAATTTTGCAAGGAATTTTTTTTGTTAGAACGCAGAAGACGATTTCTTGGACAAAATTTCGAGTTATTAGTGATTTTCACGTTACAGCTGATCCTTCTATCTAATTTGCTAAAAATCACGTTTCCGAACAATTTTTGTGGGGCAGTATGATTATCTTTATACTAGAGCTTCGATCCTTAATCCGACTATCTGAATTGATCTTTAAATCCAGGTAGATTTAGATATTTAGATCAGAGATTTTTACTCGGATTGGTCAAAGAACCTAATTAACGAACCTAAGGATATGCTACAAAGCTAGCTTTATATGTAATCTAACGCGGATTCAATCCGGATTTAATAGAATCCGGATTGCCTGTCAAAAATAGGATCGAAGCTCTACTTTATACGTAATCATTTTTAAATTCGCTATATAATAATAATTCTAATAATATTTGTCTAACATTACTCTTGGTCGTATATACCAATAAATATGTCGGATAATCAGAAAGGTAAGATAGACAGGTTTTATATCAATGACTTATATGTATAAACGGACTTGGTAGATTAATTTTTATGATACATATTATTGATTTTTGGAGGTTTACTAAAGACATTTTATCATTTCATATGTCATAGAACAATCCACATCCCAACCCAAAGCTGGTTCTATCGGAAGAATTACAGAAGGCCTATGATACTTTGAATCCAGATTGTGTTATGTTTTTACCATAAAAATCTTAACGACAATGAGGCTAAACTGTCTTTTCTTAAAGCTGTAGTAACAATACGAGAGGGCGAACGTAAAAAAGGAGTATGTTTTGTTTTGCATATGCTTTGTTTTCTTTAATTCATCATTAAAATT